TGTGTATACGAAGATAATCCAGTGTTTATTGTTAATTTATGATTATTAATATTATTATCACTATATTTTTATTGTACTATATTATTCAATTACCCAGACACGCATACTATAAAGTTGTCAGACCGAATGATTTGATAGATGTTTCTCTATGTATTTCGACGTGTTGGATCCGAATATGAAGCCAGAATTGCGCCATCACCCTCCAATTGTTTTAAATCGCACAAAACCATTGTGTCATTGTATTTCTTGTTTTCTGGGGTTGTTGTCAGACCCAAAGACTTGAGACACGTTCGTCTATGTACGTCGACACGCTGAATCCGAGTCTGAAGCGAGAAAAGAATTGGAAAGTGGAGGCGGAATTCTGACTTCAGTTTCGGATTCAGCGCGTCGACATGCATAAAGAAATGTGTTTCAAGTCTTGGGATCTGACAACAACCTTCGGAAACAAAACAACAACAACAATTTTTTGGGTGTTTTCGGGTGACATAAAGAAATGGGGAGTGATGGCACAATTCTGAGTTCAGATTCAGCGCATTGAATTACATAGAGTAAGATGTTTCAAGACTTTGGGTGTGACGTTTTTTGTGTGCCTGTGTCATTATTGTATTATATTATTATTCCCTAAATTCACTACTGAAAAGTTGTCTATTAAGTATAAAATCGACTCCATATGGTCACCAACTTCCTTAGGAGGAAGTTTACACGAGCAAAACTAACTGTAACACGAAAATACAGGCTTACGCATGTTTGGTATGTAAGGTCCGATTAAAGTGTCAAAAAGTTTGCAGAAAAATGCTGCTAATTCGCGAATTATTTTTATTACAACGGGGCAGATATTATTTGGGAATTATCAGTTACAAGTACAAAAGAAGTGCGACTCTGTGGCCTCTTCAACGCCTATACAAAGCAAACAGCATGGAAAGCAAGTCAGTGAAAGACTAGAAAAGCCATGTTACTTAAGTTGGGGCAACCATTCACCCAAAATAAATTGCAGATAGCAAAGAACAGATACACTTGTAGGAAAATTGAGCTTTGTGAATAGGAACATTGTTGACTGGAACAATTTACCTGCACAGGTGTTAGCCACTCTTCCCAGATTCATGCGAGTCATGCGTTCGAGAGTTTTAAAGCGCAACTGCGCAAGTTTTACAGCGATGTGCAGTGAAGTAATAATAAGAAAAGGCCAACAAAAGAGTGGGGAAAGTGTCATGCCCATACTTGCTGTTCATAAATAAATTACTGAATACTAAAACATCCAGTGAAGTGAAGTATAGTAGAGTAAGGAGATGAATGCAGAGTAGACATGGGAACTTTTAATTTATTTTTTGAAACTCGCTGATGTATTTTTTATTTTATTTTTGTTGATATTCATTATTTGTCTTTTTTAATACTTGTATGTGTTGTATTGTATTTTTATTACATGTTTCTTTGTTTTTTAATTTTGTTTATTTGTTATTTTCATCTTTTTAATATATGCGTTAAAAATATTTCTCTGCCTCCTTTTTCAGGCCGTTCTGGTCGCATGGCACAGAAGCATTAAAGTAGACACGATTTTTCACCAAATCCCGAATAGCAACATCATGTTTGTTTTTCGTATTTTATACGAACATAATGGATTTGTTGATAGTTCAGAATTATACAGTCCAAAAAAAGTCACATGTTTTCTTGAGTGTTCGTACCACTTAAAAATTTTGGAATGATGGCGTTACTGATCTTCACTTGGAGGTAAATACATATCCTGTTGCCACTATTGAAGAATTCCGACTTTGCTGTAATTAGAGAAGTTGAGAGGTTATAACCAATGGTTTCTAATTGTTCCTGACAAATGCGGCATTTTCCGCGTTGGAAAATTTTGAGAACCACATTAGTAAATGCCGCTTTTAGGACCTTCATTATTCCCCTTTTAAATCACAAAAATAATAGGCCTTTTTTCCTCTTATCTTGTCGATTGTTTTCAAAACGTGTACATGGAGTGAGTTATCTTTCCAACATTTGAACATTTTTTTTTCTATATTTCATGTCAATTGTCAGCAGTTCAATTTCAGTGTTATTCTGCATATCTTGCAGAGTGTTCATTTGCAAGCAGAGAGTTGCAATGTTGTCCTATTCCTTCAGAGAGATTTAATGATCAGCATCATACGTGAGACACCTTGATGACAGATCACGTGTTGTCCTATTGCGCTTATTGCAGTTTCCCACGAGGTCTCAATTTGTCCAGGTCTTTTCCTTCTTTTGCGTTACACAATGTCTGTTTACATTAGCTCGTGGCTGGGTTACATGATGCACCCTTTTTGGATTTTCCGTCTATGGTTTGATTTTCTTGTGTCCAATCCACCAGTCCAAAATTGTTCTCGACAACATGCACAGCCATATTTTCTATTGAGAAATTTTATTGGTGGTGTTTAGAACGGACTAGATGTGTCTTACTCCTCTATAGTACTTGTACTTATTTCGAATCGTTTCCTTCCTGATGTATTTTGAGATGATGTCATATTTTTAAGATTTAAGTTTGTGTTGCACAATTGCAGTGAATATTGTTCATTTAATTTGCCAATCAGAAATATTATTGACATTACTCATAATATTGAAAAATCTCAAAAAGCACAAATGTTGTACGAGAATAACCCTTCAATTATTAGATTGTGTCGTCAAATATACAAATCAGTATTAAATGATATAATCATATTACTTGAGAATACGTTAGGCGTAGTTTCAATGTCAAAATATCACTTCTTACAATAAATAAACAAAATGGAAAACTTACATTCTAAATTTTTCTCAACACAGAGAAAATTAATTTACGTATCACGCTCTGTGCCATTGGTGAATACTCTAAACGTGATCTATCGTAATTTTAACATTGTCTTTTGGAGAAACAATTTTGCTAACAGAAACATTAGTATTCCAAATTTTCCAACGATTCTGTAATACAAGAAGTTTCGTTATAATTTATTTTCATTTTTTAAAAGCTTAAACATAAATCGTTCAATTTTTTATAAAATATAGTATATTGTTATCATTATTCTCCTTTTCTCATTTTATTCGACTCGCTGTTCCGAGAACTCACGTTTAAAAATGCAGTAAAAAATATCAAAGGGATATGGACCATTGCTTTAGAAATAAAAATTAATTGCAATTATGAAATCATAACAAATATTTTCCAATGAAACGAAAAAAATTGTCGGTATGATAGTGAATTGTTAATTAAAGGTTAATATAAAAGCATTGGACTCTACTATTACATTCTTTTTAAAAAAAATTCTTCAATAACACACTTTTTCGTTTACACCGGTGCGCGCATTTTGAGCAAATAAAATATTATTAGAACTTTCCCTAATTATTAAAAATCATCGAATGATTCGAGAAACACAATGTTTTATGAAGGTATTAATCACGTTTAAGAATGGAGATACATTTGTATAAAAGGAAATATGTCAAATAGGGTGCCGCACGTTGTGTCTGTGCAATCGGAAAACGCAATTCCAATGGTTGCATTATATTACTACACCCTGCGCAATGCGCTGTATGCCGATAATGTAAATTTAATTATTTACATATTTATTTACCGTCACAAAACTGTTAGAATCTGCATGTGACGTACCAAGGGAAGAAGTGTTTTCTGTGCTTGTCTTAAAATCTTAAATCTCTCAACCCATTCAAGTTGACTTATGAATAGCGCGGAACGAGGATTTTTGACAAGGAGGGAGAAGGAAATATTCGCTCTCACGTAATAAAAATTAAAGGCAAATCAGTTACTAATTTTTGCAATTACCCCTCATCCTGCTCTTTGTGAAGGAATCGATTTACTGAACCGAGAAAATAGTAACAACTTGAATAACCACAGTCCCCAATGAACTCATGGAAAATGTGGCAGTTAGTGGCGTTATATTTATGACCTCTTGAACCAAATTTATTTTTTCCATTTCTTTTCTATGACATTAAAAGAAAGCCACTTCAATGAAACATCAAATATTTAAACGTTATACCAAATATAATTGCTTTATACAAGTTCTAAATATACACATTATGTTTTGTTTAAAGGAACACTCAGAATAAATTGTACATCGCAGGTATAAAATATACAACAAAAAATGAAAGCAATTCGCTTTTTATCAAGCCATACTCAATTTTCTCAAACATACTAATTACAGTCGACTTCGGTTATAGTGAACTCGGATATAGTGAACCCTCGGTTATAGTGAAATTAAGTCATTGGTCCCCTTTCGCTTACATTACAAATAAGCATAAGAAGATTTGGTTAAAGTGAACCCGAACCTCGGCTTTCATTAGCCACTTGTCCCATCCCATTGCAGAAAGCATCTCGTATGATATTCGGCGAGAAAGAGAGCCTTCGGACATTGGGATAGTGTACTCGTGAGCTTCCGCGGTTCGAGTTCATGACGTCTTGGTTGTACGGCTGACGCCTTTTCGTTGGCTGAGATGCCGGCGTTTCGCTTGTCATGTCGCACACTTCCTCAGTCACTGCCCTGGAAGAAGCTTGCGAAACGTCGGCCTCTCAGTCAACGACGCGGTGTCACCCGGATAGCCAAGAAGTCAGTGGGATGGTGGAGAGGAATTGAAGGATGTCATAACTGACTACGCTAAGGAAGCCTGTGGCATGACAGGCCTCTCAGTCAATGACGCGGCGTCGCCCGGACAGCCAAGAAGTCTTGAATTCAAGCCTCAGAAGCGTACGTGTACAGATATCATAAGTGCATTACGATACTTAGAGGACAATGCAAAATCAAGAATGGAGAGAACACGAACTCTGGAGAAGTAAGTTAATAGTGACCTCATTGGTTACAATATTAATACTTTGGTGATTGTAAGGACTTCTTCACCAGGTGTGAATTTATGTATAAATACATTGATGTTGCATTATTATACACCCGATCAATGCAATAGTATTTAAGAATAATATTACAAATTACATTCTGTGGGACAAAGAGGCACGAATTTTCCTGCAGAATACAAGAACGTATTAAATGTTGGATACATACTTTAGAGACCTCCACAGTTGCTAACGGCCTGATTCCATTTAACCATTCGTTTGGCTCCAAAGAAAACTCAAAAATTTATAACTTATCCAACACAGTTGAAAAATGGATTTTGGAAGTCCTAGAAATTTGTAATATATTTAAATATCGTTATTTTACTATCCTTAATGAACATTCCCTAATAAAAAAGCAGTCCCATATTAAATCTTTTTATTGACAAACTCACCTTTTGGGGCATTAACATATCTCATTCTGTATCATGACGGCCTCTTAGATGTTTCGGGCACGTTCGGCGTTGTTCAGCTGTTGTTCTTTATGGTCATCCACGTTGCTTGGGTAGTAAGTAATTTTCTAAAATCATATTTTCTCTTATTAATTTTTCATATAAATATATTTTTTATACTTCCCTTTGCCCTTCTTTGCATTATTGTTCGTTTATACTATATTTCCTTTTGCATGAAGATGTGTTCCCAAAACTTAATTTTGGGTACTAAATGTTTTAATAAATATGAAAACTTTGAATTGTTGTGGTTAAATTATTTCGTAATACATATTGCAGTCGAATCATGTTATAGTGAACGTCTGGGGACTAACATTTTTGGTTCACTATAGCCGAGGCTTACTATATCTGATGATGTCAAAATTAAATAGAATTTCTCTATAACGATTGAATTTACTAATATAGAGATACAGCAAAATACATCGATAGCACGATTGAAAATTTAAATGTATTAATTTATTCTTAAACAATTAATTATTTTCAATTGTTTGCTTCATTGCTTCATACAATTTTCCTCAGTAATTTCTCGAAAGTCGAAAGTACAATTGGTGATAACGGGAACAGTATACGGACGCACACAAACACCCATGCCCCGGTTGGGATTCGAACCCGGGATCTTTCACGGACGAAGTAGTTATGGCTCTTCTGCCGTTGCGACCTCCACTATCCAGGCCGGCCGACGACTATGTTTATAGTTTTCTTTAAATTTTGTAAAAATGTGCAGTAACCTGTTCACCTTTTTGGAGGTCGCCTTTTTCGAGTCTGAAGATAAAAAGTAAGTTACATTTGACCATGGACGACGTCTTTGAATATCCTACAATTGATATTTAAAAATAATTTTCAATTAAATGTATACTATATTGAACTCTTTCCAGAAGGTAACTGTAAGAGTTGACAACATTTCTAATATTAATACACAAAAGTCCAAATGCGGAGCCCTTATTACATTCCCTTGCTCTACAATAGTAGCCTGTAAAATAAAAATTAAGAATATGAAAAGTGGATAGTAGATTGTCGGATAATTAATGTTCTTTAAAATGGTTTTGATTCACCAATTATATGATAATATTTCAAATATTGTTTATACAATAGCACGTACAATGTAAATTATGCTTTCATTTAACGTTATCTCCATATTCTCTGGTGTTTTTGTAATAAACCGATGATGAATCACTGGTGTTGTGTAAACAGCGATTTAAATCCAGAATGCGTGGACATGCGCCGTTAATATAGCGCACAATAGTTTTTAAAAATACAAAAACACGTTAAAAAGAACTTTGTAATTACTTTATCTTTGTGCTGGAAGTTTACAATGCCTCAATACGTTATATGCATTTGTACCGAATGAAAGGAGATTATACATCTAATTAATCAACCTTGCAATAATGTCAATTTCAACAACAAATACGCAAATAGCAATAAGTGTCATTTCTGGGAGATAATAAAAAATAAAAATCATAAGAAAAAACCAGGAAGTCATTCTAAAGAAAAGCAATGGTAATGTTCTTTCTAATCAATATTATAGAAGATATGACATTTCGTGACTTCTTGATACGTTAACATGTTAATAAGTAGACGCTGACGTGAATACTCCAAGTCCCTGGTACTGAAATAGCGGACCAATCACCCAAATATGACATACAAATAGAACAAAATATTAATAGAAACAAATTAGTTTCCCTCCGTTACTTATACTTCGAGAAATGAATATTTTTTCTCCACGTTTTTCGTAATATGACCCATGTAGTAAAAAAACATTTAGTAAAGTCCTTAACTTCATTTTCATTCAACTTTAATACCTTTCTTCAAATACATGTTGTGCATCCTTAGCAAAATACAAGATTAACTCGGGAAAATAATCAAAATCGGTACAAATATTTGCTTGAAATGATTTGAACTTGAGCGCATAGTTTTTTCGCGAGGAAAGCTCATATACGTGATACCACGCACAGGTTAAGAGGTTAAGTAGACCATTTATCAAACGCATTTAAAAGGAAATTACAATATTTCAATTTTTTAAATTATTGAATTTTGATCAAAATCAAGTTTATGCCACATTACTAAACGAAATTTGCATATTACGAGCAAAAACTAAACCAGTGATGATGTAACAGCCCATACTTTCTTGCATTATTTCTAACTTTAGCATCTCTGAGGTAGAGAAAGTTTCGATTGAGATTGACGGAGACCTCTTCTAGAAGACCAAAGCTTTAAAGATCAGAGACGTTTTTAGTCCAATTAGGTGAATGTTAGAGAAGTACCTAGTTCACAGGTCACGATCCGCACGTTACCATTCTTTTTCACCGCCTTGTCATTTTCTGTGGGGGAGCTGCGGGAGGCTGACCCCCGATTCCCATTGGCCCTGACCAGAGGGGCGTCGTCCTTTCAGGTCTTAAGAGAAGAAATACGGCGAGCAGGCAATAAATCAAAGAGAGGAAAAGAAAGAACTTATAAACTATGAACGAATTTAGGAGGAACAGATTAGCTGAAAAAAGAACTGTAAACCTCAAATGGAGATTAAATACCAAAATTAAGGCTTACACATGCATTAAGGCTTAATTAGGGGAATGGAGAATCAATGGACAGGAAAGGGAACATCAAAGGACAGAAAACCAAACACATTTTGACTACGACGAAAGATGAGGAAAATCAAGGCAGGAATATTCAGCGCCAATAGATCAAAAGATAACGTGTCGTCTAGCAAAGAGCTACCCATCAAATGGGAAGTAAGATATTTTCTTTGCGAGGACCGAAGGTGCTGGCATTTGAATATATATTTTCCTAAGTAAAACTAGGACTCAAAACACTTAATTATGTCCAAATATGTAGATTAAATAAAATAATAAATACATATTTGTAAATTATATTATCTTACATTTCTACATATTTATTTTGCAAGTATAGAAGAAACTTGTCTAACTGGTAATTTTCTAATTTGTGTATCGGCATCCAATATTATTCTGAAAGAATATTTTCTCTGGGCGAGTGCCCATAGAATGTGTCTCCTTTCTGACGATTTGAATACAAAATGGAACATTTGCATTTTCCAAAATTTCAGAATTTTTTATTGACTTCATTTCATCATCTGGAAGGTTTTCAAGGAAATTAAAAAATTCTAGTCTTCAATATTGTAGTAAAAAGACACAAAAAATTAAACTTCTCAGTTAATTATGCCTCATGTTTAAAGAGTATATTATTTATAATCGAGAAAACATAAACAAAAAAATTGTAACATTGTAGGGAAAGTCTTTTTCAATCGTCTTTATTTCAAGCAATATTTCAATTTACCAAAACTACACAATTTTTTTAAATGTGCAAAACGTTAAATGGGCAATATTTTATTCAACAAAAAATATCGATCAATATTGTAGTTTGCCATTTAAAATATTTGCACTTTTTGAAAATAATTTTCATCGAAAATGGCACGTACGCATTTTTTCTAGGCTTACTTTTGATCTAGCGAGAAAAAAGAACCCTACAGGAAAACGCGTCTCCGGTAGACCGAAGAAAAAATTGACCGAAAGTTGGATTTCCACATCTTCTGAAGAATCCTGATGGAAAAGTGTGAAGAAAAACAGGCGTAACCTTAATAAAAGAAGCAAAATTTAAAAAATTGGAGCAATTTTTGAGAAAATATAGTTTTTAAAATTGCCTATATTTAACGCGAATTACACAAAGACTACTCATATTTTCGAAAAACTGTACATGACATTATTTAAAGATCAAACTTTCATGTACAGATTTCATTAGAGGAAAATCTCCATATTTAATATTCTATTTAAAGGGAAAAAATTAAATTTTGAATTCCCGAAACTTTAGATAGTTCAAGGCGGAATGAATCTTTGTCATTTTGAACGTATTTCGCTCTATTTGAAAAAAGATCAGATTTTGGAGTCATTTTTGAGAAAATATTTATGTTGTTTAGAATTCATTTAATTAGCGGCCGAATCAAAATATGCGTTTCAAATTCACAGGACCTCGAGATCAGCCAGATAAATAGGGGAATGTCAATTTTGGAGAACATTCAACGGTTTAAGCGTTGGTGTTGACCACACATGGTCGAACGGACAGACTTTCTGTAGTAAACGAATTTTTCTTTCTATTCTTTTCTTTACTACGTAAAATTTACTAGGCGTAATTGTAAAAATATATACATTGAATTGTACAGCCTTTTCATTTCGAAGTCGGTTGACAATGCAGAGAGAGAGAGAGAGAGAGAGAGAGAGAGAGAGAGAGAGAGAGAGAGAGAGAGAGAGACGCTCAGCGTGGACGGAACGACGGAATCATTTTGCCGCTTGTTTCAGTGGCGGCTCGATGACGCTTTAACTGTGCGAATGCACGAGGACCATATTTTGGACACACGTCGTCCATTTTTAAATTAAAAATCTAGCAGATTACCCGGTGTTTTCCGGATATTTATTTATCACTTTATACTAAACAGCTCGACTGTCCCGGCTTCAACGCCTCCCCCTCTCACAATGGCACACCCCTTCTCCGCACCACACTTCCCTCAATTCCTGGTTCATAGTAACCCGCAACCAATAGTGGATCGGAGAGGTTCTGTGTACTACGAGAAAACTATCTATTACTATAAAAGTCTATTCAAAAATACAATATTACATTGTATTTTTTCACGTAATGTTATTAAAAATACCGTAATTGTAAATAGTAGAAGCAAATATTACAAATATTTTTAAAATACAAAACTACAAGAATGTAATAACATGAATTTTGTTCCCTATTGAGACCGAATTCTGACAAATCGGACCCCTCAAAGCCTGAGAAGATACGACATCACTGAGGACCTTCAAATTCCATGAAATCTAAAGATTTAATACCATAAATGACGACAGTAATAGTAGTGTGTTAAACTATGCGTATCATCAGGAAATGTGGGATCCTGTACAGTTCAAGTACCATCTTGATCCTCGGGGTTGCCCGTGTGAAGGGTCAATTGGCTTAAAACTGCCTCGTTTCCAGTTTTGGTGAAAGTGTTCTAAATATCATGGCTCCTTATTAACAGTCTTCACACTGAGACCCACAT